CAACGGAAGATGAAGATTTGGCAAAGTTGAGTGTGGTGCACAAACTGATCTTACCTCAGATGAAGGAGTCAGGCGAAAAGACGAACAATCTCGAGTCAGCAAAGAAGATGGAGCCGGGTAGCTGTCTGGATACTACGTGTGGGAGTGAAGAGCACACCTGCGATGGACGATTATGTGTCAGGATACTGTCCTTTCAAAAAGAAGATCTGGTTACTTGGTTTGAAGACATCACGGAAAGGGAGAAAAGTGAAGTACAAATAGTGGCGGAGTGTTACGCGAGAACTACGGTGAACATAGCGACAGCTCTCGGATTCTTCTCGAGAATGTGTAGTCTGCAGTCACTGGAGAGGCTAGAGTCTGAACACCATTTAGTGACTGCGTTGAGCGTGGAATCATGGCCTGGGGTGTTGCAGGTGACTCAAAAACATATCCGGAGCTGGAAGGTTGGTCTCGAGGCGGAAATGGGGTTTCCCATGAGCGAAGCTTATGGCCTGCCATTGAACGCAAAATCCCTGATAGGGTCAATGATGGCCAATTTGTGCGGAAGCCACTACCCATTGCACATGGCGATGGTGGAATCATCCAGCCAGAGAATATTGGTGGACAAGGCCTTCTCAGTGCCCAGGTGCGTGAGGTTGGCTCGGGTATCGCATCACTCGCACAAGTTGTTGAGGAAAATCAGAGGGACAGTACCGAAAGAGTTGAGAGATGACTTGAGTGAAATCTGGGGAGAAGAGCTTTTGAAATTGGAAAGTGAGAACACAAGCGATCACGAGAGACAAAACGTGATCGGAAAACCTGTGGGGGGTGCTCCAAACATGGGAGAGAACGACACGATGCATGAGAAAATGATGGAGCTTGAGCCTCTCTTGGAAGCCTCGGGGGAGCGTAACCTCAGGAGCATTGAGATCACCCATGGAGAATGCCCATGCCACTGTTTGGCACAAACGGTGTGGTATCCAGATCACAAGAACCTCTGCCTGGTGTGGGATATGGAAGAAATTCGGTCGATCGGATTACCGGATCACCGGCAGAAGGTGACGATCTTAGTAGTGAGTACGATGCTGGCTCTGAGATGGATAGAAGAGAATATAACGAAGTATCGGGAAGCGAAGACGCCAACGGCTGAGTCAAAATATACGATAGACTACAGCAGGAGACTCGAGTTGTTTGAGGATGCATGCAAAGCATTCGCCATACCAATGGAAGTCAGAGACGTATGGAGCCGCTTGAGGTACTTTCCATGGTTTCGAGCGACACTGACGTCTTGGTTATACATGACAACGAAAGATCACATGAGAAAGCATCAAAAGGAGTATCGACAGTTCCAGGCCGAGATTGGGCCGGAAGCTTTCAAGAGACCCCTGTTAACCCATCGAAATGCGATCACGACAGGATGGAAAAGAGTGGGTAAAATGTCTAGAGACAATACCAAAGCGAGGGAATCGATACTAGAGGAGGACTTGGCGAAGAACGTGAGCCTGAGCCTGCACAACTCCTTTTGTTTGAACCGGGAATCTAAGGGTGAAGGCACTACCCAACCAGGCAAAGAGGTTGCAGGAGAAAAGGGAATGGATGCAATCCTATGAACAGCTGAAAGCTTGGGAGGAGATCGTGATTAGCTCCGATGATGAAGAACTGTTGAAACAGTTTGCTGTATCTAGTACCTCAGGGTGCGGCACCTCCAAGGCGAAGAGTGCGAAATGAGCGGATGGTTCGAAGAGATCTTCAGTCTTGAGAGGGAAGGGGGGCTTGAGTGTGAATCCGGATGAAACCTGGGTTCACGAAAAAGAAATTTTAACGAATCTGATATTGTTATTAATATGTTATATTTACTATATAAATCAAAATGCTGCATGACAATTTCCTGATTGAATGGGACAAAAGAAATTTTAAATAATTGGCTTGAAAAGCGAGAATTCAAGTGTGCAGGTGTGTGCAGATTTTGATTGCTATTTAGCGATAGTGTGAAAATTTTACATGGCCGTGAATTTTGGGGTGTAGATAAGCTTAAGTGTGCTGCAAACTTCTGTAAATGACCACTGGCACTGTACCTTGAGCAACACTTGGTTTTCTGGGACTCACTGGCGGATGACAACACACGATGAGGACATCGATCTCGAGTCCGGGGAGTATGTGCCGGTCGGTCATGTCTGGAGGCTTGACCTTGAGAAACACGTAATTTTGGAGTGAAGTTTTAATTTTAAAAATTTCGAATGGAGCCTGTCATGCTCAGTTTTCTCGAACCAACTTAAAACGCAAAAGTCAAAAATCAGAACGACCGAATTAACAATTGCGGGAAACTACTACCTGGCGAGGAATGTAAGCATGAGTCTTCACAACTCCTTCTGTTTGAACCGAGAGTCGAAGGTGAAGAGCCTACCAAATCAATCGAAGAAGTTGCAAGAGCAGAGGGAGTGGATGCGATCCTATGAACAGTTGAACGCCTGGGAGGACATTGTGATCAGCTCCGATGACGAAGAGGCACTGTTGGAACAAATTACAGTGCCAAGAACACCGGTATCGGGTACCTCGAAGGCGAAGAACACGAGGTGAGCCAGTGGCTCGAAAGGAAATTCTAGAGTCTTGAGTCTTGAGAGGGAGGGGGCTTGAGAGTGAACTTGGATGAAATCTGGGTTCACTAAAAAAGAAATTTTAGATGAATAAAATATCGTTATTAATATGATAGATCTATTATATGAGTCAAATTGATGCATGACAATTTCCTGACTGAATAGGACAAAAGAAATTTTAAAATTACCAGCTTAAAAAGCGGGAATTCATGGGTGCAGGTGTATGCAGATTTTGATTGCTGTTTAGCGATAGTGTGGAAATTTTATATGGTGGTGAATTTTGGAAGGTAGATAAACTTAAGTCCGATGCAAACTTCTGTAAATGACCACTGGCACTGTATCTTGAGCAACACTCGGTTCTCTGGGACTCACTGGCGGATGACAACACACGATGAGGACATCGATCTTGAGTCCGGGGTGTATGTGCCAGTCGGTCATATTTGGAAGTTTGACCTTGAAAAAAACAACAACGCTTAATTTTGGAGTGAAATTTGATTTTTCAAAAATTCGAATAGAGCCTGTCATGCACGATTTTCTTGCGATAACTGAAAACCGAAAAAGAGAAATCAGAACGATCGAGTAACAATCGCGGGAAAGTTGCCAGATAAAGCAGTAGGAAATTGCCATTCGCAATTTCCGTCACAAAAAAACTAGAGTAGAGCTGTCCTATCTGAAACAGAAGGAAGCATATTCCCGAGAACTGGACTATTATTGCTCGACTGGATTATTATTCAAACTGGACTAGAGTGAACCTTCGATGGAAAAGTGGACAGCTTGAGTGTCCCAATGGTTCACGAGAAACCATACTCTAGAGTTCAAACTTGTTCCTGTTGTTGAAACTGATTAACATTAAACTCATTTAGTTACATTATTTAATTCTCGAGTTGATTACCGACTTAATTACTCCCAGTTCTTGAGCGTGCTACAATGTGAGTCTTCAATTTAAATTTCTAGAGTGTGTTTTATGATTGTTATGTTGAGGTAAGGCGAGTTTTAGGTTGATGAATCTGAAATGGATCAAAGTTCCACTGTCTAATAAAAAGTGACTTAACGGATTGTTCCGACCCGGTTTTTAACGGCGTTCATGTATTTTGGGTATCTAGAGGCCTAAGTATGGGGACGTTCTTATTTCTAGAGTGGGGGGATTTTTTGGTAGTAGCCTTTAAGCTGTAACGGGTCGTAGTCTCATGTCACAAGCGAACCGAATTGGCTCCGACTGATTTGAGGTAGAAAAACACAAGAGATAGTGTCCCTGACTCTTGAGCCAATGGTTATAGGGCCTATTTTCTTAAGCCTCATGTGTGACTACAGTAGACGAATGTTACAGTTGTTTCTCAATACAATTTCCGTTGTTATCGCTATCGCAACTACTGTTGTTGTGTTTTTCTTCGACTTTCTTCCAAAATGGCCGTTTCTGACGTTTCTCAGAAATATGACGTCATACTTCGAATTTTTAAAATTTCATAACACCAGAATATCTTGACCCTCACCATTTGGCCAATCGTTCCAATAACACTCTTATTCTTTCAAAATCGCCAATTCGGAAGGTTCGCTGCTAAAAAACTCGAATATGCTGAATCTGCATATAGCTTTTGGGCTAGATAAAAAGTTACTATTTTTAGGCAATCATCCAAACAACTTTTAATCAGCTTCCGTTTACATGCGAATACAACCACATAGCTGGGTCTCGGATCCTCCGACTACATGATTGCTATCAAAACACTGCTCCAATATCCTACTTTACTATGTTTTTGGTGACAGTTGTATGTTAAATCCATTGGAGATTCTAAAATATCAAATAATCCCGGTATTAATTCAAAGGTTTATGACATCAGAGTAGCTAAAAAGTCAGTTCTTTACAGCCCTTCACCATATATTGTCTCTGAGGGGCCGAGCCTCCGATTCCGTGCTTTCTCTGTAATAACGTCGTTATTAATCCCAATTCGTGGCACTGGAGGGCACTGCTCTTTATTTCTTCCCCACTGAAGCCTCCTCTCTGGCTAATTCCTTCCGCTAAGTTTCTTATCGTGCGTGATCGTCACGATAAGAGGCTTCGTGTTTTAGTTCGTTCGACTGTTTTTCACAAGATCGGTTGTTCTGTTTTTCGTCACTTTTCAGTCAAAAGTGGCCATTTTTCGTATTTATCAGAAATAATTCTTCGCCAATCCAAAATTTTAAATTTAAAAATTCCAGAATATTCTAGCCTCCTTTTCAACAGTTTTCAATCACTAAGGCCTCTAATGCTATTTTCGTGTTGTGCCGGAAGGTTACGCTGTGCCAATCCGGCGGAATGGCACACCTAATTAAAAACGCATGTTATTTTTCCCATAAATTATTCATTTCAGTTACCCGCAGTAGTAACTTAATCATCATGAATTCAATTTTCATACGATACAGTCACTTTCTAGCTATCGCGAAGTGTTCAACCATTTTTAAAATAAGTAACTATAAGTCAATCTATTTGAGATTTTGAAATGATTTCAAAATGAGTATCGAGGAGCAAGAAATTGAAATTGATGCACTTCGCTCCATATATCCTGAAGAGTTTGAACTGATAGAGGATAGTGCGCCCTTCAAATTTAAAGTTATTCTTGCGTCTCAGCCAGTTGATTGTGGACCAGAAGATGATCCAACTGAATTTGAAACAGGGCTAACGTTTCTTGCTAGACTTCCTGAAGTATATCCCGAAGTTGAACCTGAGTATTCTTTTATCGACATAATCGGATTAGATGATTTAGAGTTAGATAGCGTGCATTCAGTCGTAAAGCAGCTCATAGAAGATAATATTGGTATGTCGATGGTTTTCGCAATTTGCTCAGAAATACAGAGTACGCTAACATCTCTTTCCGAAAATAAACTGAAATCGAAAGAAGCAGAAGCTGATCGTAAGAAAAAGGAAGCAGAAGAAATTGAGTTGAAAAGACTTATTGGAACACCAGTAACAGTTCAGACGTTTTTAGAATGGAAAGCGAAATTTGACGAGGAAATCAAAATCACGAAATCGACGGTAATGAAGACAATTGTCGACGATAAGACTGCGATAAAAATGACTGGAAAGCAGCTATTCTTACAAGATGCTAAAATGGATAGTTCTGACTTAGAGTTTTTGGAAACAGCGGTTGGTACAATGGAAATAAATGAGTCTTTATTTCAAGATGACGAAGACTTTGAGATTGAAGATGACGAGTTATCCGATGAATAATTTTCTAATTTACCATCCCCTCTTAAATCAAAAATACAATTAGCGATTAACTTATGTTAAATCAATTTGGTTTTTTACAGGATTCGAGTTTGGAGCTTCTGATCGAAGTCTGCCATTTATTTAAGGGGATTGCAACGATCTGCATATTTTTTCCTGTCCTGAGCAGTAACAATTCGTGAGGAGTATGCCCTTTTCATTTGTTTCAATGTTTAAGGCAAAGAAAATTTCACCCTATTATTCAATAAATCAGTCTTGGTTTTTAGTTCATTTTTATCAAATCCGGTTTGTTCTGATTTTCAAGTGTGACTAGCAATCAAGTGCTGAATTTTATTTAAAAAAACAATATATGAAGAAAAATAATCTTAAACTTTTTTGATTAAAGCAAATGAACGTGGAACTTCGAAAAGAATTAAAAAAAAAATTTACAGATTCGTTTCCTTGATTTTGAAGAATGACTTCGAAAAGTTCTATTAAGAGAGAACATTATACACCGGAGTTTGCAGGAAACATTTTTTTCAGGAAAAAATGAGATCGTTTTTAATTAGAGAGGAAACGGTTGAAGTTTTATTTAGAAAAAGAAGAAAAAAAACTAAATACCCAGAATTAATTTTTTTGAGCTTGATCCTCTTTATTAAAAAAAGGAAAAAGCACTTTTAAACAAAATCATAAAACAGTTGAAGCTCTTTTTAAAATCTTAGAAAGACTTTGCTAGAAAAAGATTTGATGTGGAAGGCTTCAACATGTAGAGATAGCATTAAGGGACATGAAAAAGTGGCGTAAATATGGGAGAGCAATCAACTAATTAAAGATTTTAAGATTTTTTGGGAAAAAAGTAGATGAATTGAAATTTGAATATAAAATTGCATTTATAATCTTAATTCCACCGACTTTAAACAAAACGCCTCCTTAGACAACCTGTAACAATACACATCCTTCCGAAACCTCGCTAGTCGTAGGCGCTCGTAGCCGGTTCACTCAACTTTCTTGAGTTTATTGCGGCTACAGTTACTGCTTCTACTAGCGGTGCCATGTCACGAAAGCCTCCTTAACACCAACGGAGCAAGATGAAGGCTTTTCAGACAGCGGGCAATCAACAGCTCATGCAGCAGTAGCTAGTGAACAATTTCAAGACGGGTTTCAGATTCCAAAAAAAATTGAAGCCCAAAGTGAAGAGCGAAATGGAGTATGCAATAATTTTGAATAAAACTCTTGATTTCGGGCTTCAATGTTGTTCTGGAATCTGAAGCCCGTTTTCAAATTGTTCATTGGTTGCTGCTGCATGAGCTGCTGGTTGCTGCATGAGGTCTTGGAATCCCAAAGATTTACCAAGCCTCAAAATAAACGCCCATAATAGCCCGGATTATGGTTTAAAAACTGACCGTTTTTTTAAAGTTGTTTCTGGCCTGATTAGTGGCAATTCCTGAGCAGTCTGGCGTTTTCTCATGTTTCAATTTTTAGGGCATAGAATGTTTCAGCATATCGTTCAACATTTCAGTCTTGGTTTTCACGTCTTTTTAAATCCGGTTTGCTCTAATTTTCAAGCGTGACTAGCGATCAAGTGCTGAATTTTCTAAAAAGCTAAAACACCAAGAAAAATATTTTAAAGCTCGTTTGAGTAGAGCGAATGAACCTTAGAAAATCAATTTGAAATCAATAAAAAATAATTTTTTGAAAAATTGCTGTTCCGTTTCTTTGTTTTTGAAAAATGAAGTTGAAAAATTCAGCTAGAAAAGAACATATAATATAGCACAGGGTTTTACATAGCGGATTTTTGAGGTAATCTTTTGAAGAGAAAAAATAAGATCTTTTCTAACTGAAAAGTAAAACGTTGCTGTTATTTAGAAAAAACTAAATCCGCAGAATCAGTATTTTGAGCGTGTTTTTCTTTTAAAAAGAGGAAAAAAGCACTTTTAAAAAAACGAGAAAAAGTTAGAACTCTTTAGAAAAGAATTAGAATGACTTTGCTAGAAAAAGAATTAATGCAGAATCTTTCAACAGGTAGAGATATCATTAATAACCATGTAAAAATGGCCTAAACATGGGACAGAAGAATCAACTACTTTAAGAAAGAATTACGATTTTTTGAAAGAAAAAAAAAGATGAATTGAAATTAGAATACAATAAATTCAGTTTTTACTAACAATTCCTCAGACCTTAAACGAAAGGCCACCAAAGACAACCTCCAGCAGTACACATCCTTCCGAAACCTCGCTAGTCGTAGACGCTCGTTGCCGGATCACTCAATTTTTCTCGAGTTTGTTGAGTCTACAGTTACTGCTTCTACTAGCGGTGCTATGTCACGAAAGCCTCCTTAACACCAACGGAGCAATATAAACGCTTTTCAGACAGTGGAAAATCAACTGTTCATGCATCAGAAGCCAGTGAACAATTTCAAGACGGGTTTCAGATTCCAAAAAAAAACATTGAAGCCCAAAGTGAAGATCGAAATGGAGTATGCAATAATTTTAAAGAAAACTCTTGATTTCGGGCTTCAATGTTGTTCTGGAATCTGAAGCACGTTTTCAAATTGTTCATTGGTTGCTGCTGCATGAGCTGTTGTTTGCTGCCTGAGGTCATGGAATCACCAATATTTACCAAGCCTCAAAATCGCCCATAATAGCCCGGATTATGGTTTAAATACTGACAGTTGTTTCTGACCTGATCAGTGGCATTTCCTGAGCAGTATGGCTTTTTCTCATGTTTCAATGTTTAGGGCATAGAATGTTTCAGCATATCGTTCAACATTTCAGTCTTGGTTTTCACGTCTTTTTAAATCCGGTTTGCTCTAATTTTCAAGCGTGACTAGCGATCAAGTGCTGAATTTTCTAAAAAGCTAAAACACCAAGAAAAATATTTTAAAGCTCGTTTGAGTAGAGCGAATGAACCTTAGAAAATCAATTTGAAATCAATAAAAATTAATTTTTAAAAAAATTGCTGTTCCGTTTCTTTGTTTTTTTGAAAAATGAAGTTGAAAAATTCAGCTAGAAAAGAACATATAAAGCACAGGATTTTACATAGCGGATTTTTGAGGTAACCTTTTGAAGACAAAAAATAAGATTTTTTCTAACTAAAAAGTAAAACGTTACTGTTATTTAGAAAAAACTAAATCCGCAGAATCAGTATTTTGAGCGTGTTTTTCTTTTAAAAAGAGGAAAAAAGCACTTAAAAAAACGAAAAAAAGTTGTAACTCTTTAGAAAAGAATTAGAAAGACTTTGCTAGAAAAAGAATGGATGCAGAATCTTTCAATATGTAGAGATATCTTTAATAACCATGTAAAAATGGCCTAAACATGGGACAGAAGAATCACCTACTTTAAGAAAGAATTGCGATTTTTTGAAAAAAAAAAGATGAATTGAAATTAGAATACAATAAATTCAGGGTTTATTAACAATTCCACAGACCTTAAATGAAAGGCCACCAAAAACAACCTCTAACAGTACACATCCTTCGGAAACCTCGCTAGTCGTAGACGCTCGTTGCCGGATCGCTCAACTTTTCTCGAGTTTGTTGAGTCTACAGTTACTGCTTCTACTAGCGGTGCTATGTCACGAAAGCCTCCTTAACACCAACGGAGCAAGATAGAGGCTTTTCAGACAGTGGAAAATCAACAGCTCATGCAGCAGAAGCCATTGAACAATTTCAAGACGGGTTTCAGATTCCAGAAAAAAAACATTGAAGCCCAAAGTGAAGAGCGAAATGGAGTATGCAATAATTTTAAAGAAAACTCTTGATTTCGGGCTTCAATGTTGTTCTGGAATCTGAAGCACGTTTTCAAATTGTTCATTGGTTGCTGCTGCATGAGCTGTTGTTTGCTGCATGAGGTCTTGGAATCACCAATATTTACCAAGCCTCAAAATCGCCCATAATAGCCCGGATTATGATTTAAATACTGACAGTTTTTTAAAGTTGTTTCTGACCTGATCAGTGGCATTTCCTGAGCAGTATGGCTTTTTCTCATGTTTCAATGTTTAGGGCATAGAATGTTTCAGCATATCATTCAACATTTCAGTCTTGGTTTTCACGTCTTTAAATCCGGTTTGCTCTAATTTTCAAGCGTGACTAGCGATCAAGTGCTGAATTTTGTAAAAAGTTTAAAGACCAAGAAAAATACTTTGAAGCTCGTTTGATTAGAGCGAATGAACCTGGAACTTCGAAATGCTTTTTTTTAGAAAATCAATTTGAAATCAGTAAAAATTAATTTATAAAAAAGTTACGTGTCCGTTTCTTGAAGTTGAAAATGAAAAATTCAACCAGAAAGAACATATAATAATATAGCACAGGATTTTACATAGCGGATTTTTGAGGTAACCTTTCGAAGACAAAAAATAAGATCTTTTCAAACTAAAAAGTAAAACGTTGCTGTTATTTAGAAAAAACTAAATCCGCAGAATCAGTATTTTGAGCGTGTTTTTCTTTTAAAAAGAGGAAAAAAGCACTTTAAAAAAACGAAAAAAAGTTATAACTCTTTAGAAAAGAATTAGAAAGACTTTGCTAGAAAAAGAATGGATGCACAATCTTTCAATATATAGAGATATTATTAATAACCATGTAAAATGGCCTAAACATGGGACAGAAGAATCACCTACTTTAAGAAAGACTTACGATTTTTTTTGAAAAAAAAGATGAATTGAAATTAGAATACAATAGTTTCAGTTTTTAATAACAATTCCACAGACCTTAAATGAAAGGCCACCAAAGACAACCTCTAACAGTACACATCCTTCCGAAACCTCGCTAGTCGTAGACGCTCGTTGCCGGATCACTCAACTTTTCTCGAGTTTGTTGAGTCTACAGTTACTGCTTCTACTAGCGGTGCTATGTCACGAAAGCCTCCTTAACAGCAACGGAGCAAGATAAAGGCTTTTCAGACAGTGGAAAATCAACAGCTCATGCAGCAGAAGCCAGTGAGGATTTCAAGACGGGTTTCAGATTCCAGAAAAAATCATTGAAGCCCAAAGTGAAGAGCGAAATGGAGTATGCAATTATTTTAAAGAAAACTCTTGATTTCGGGCTTCAATGTTGTTCTGGAATCTGAAGCACGTTTTCAAATTGTTCATTGGTTGCTGCTGCATGAGCTGTTGTTTGCTGCATGAGGTCTTGGAATCCTCAAAATTTACCAAGCCTCAAAATCGCCCATAATAGCCCGGATTATGGTTTAAAAACTGACAGTTTTTTTAAGTTGTTTCTGGCCTGATCAGTGGCAATTCGTGAGCAGTCTGGTTTTTTCACATGTTTCAATGTTTAGGGCATAGAATGTTTCAGCATATGGTTCAACATTT